GAAAGGAATCGGAATAATCCCTTTATTTTGATGCTTTCAGAGATAATCCCTATATAGATTGCATGATATGATTTAATAATTATTAAATCTTACACTAACTTTTTTTTAAAATAAAAAAATGTGTCATGGGGCGGGATAAACGAAATATTTTGAATAAAATCCCTATTCCCGTATCAGGATAGTCAAAAGACAATTATGTACAATGATTCAATATCATCTTAAGCTACCTATTTATTGCATATAGCATCTACGGGAATCAATCCAATCCAAATAATAATAATAGCTTAAAAAAAGTGAGGTTCTCACGGTGTGCTTGAACATTGAATACAAATATAGTCGCTCAAAATAAAAAAAATAGGAGAAAGAGGATGTGAAATGATGATAAGTTAAAATTATATTAATAGATAAATAGTAAATTAAAGTTGGTGTGAACTAAAAATCGGCCTAAGTGGCCACCTCTGATTAAAAAATCAGCCAGGTAGCTAGGCAGTACCTAAACAAGTCTAGGCGTTTCTAAGCGAGCTCAGCGGCCAATTGGTGAATAGGCGGAACTAGGCGCTCCTAGGTGAGCTCAGCAACAATTTTTTAATTTTTGTGAAATACTTATTACATTATCTTATTATCATGTTTTCTTCATTATATATTAATAATATAATCAAGACTTGGGTGTGTTGATTTATTATCAGTTGAGATAATTTTATTTTGTACGTACTGAAAATAAATAAATAAAAAAATAAAATATTGAATCTTGATTTCCAAGGTGCTTTAGGCACTAGGCATTGGTCGAACACCTAGCATGCGCCCACCAGTTTTTAGAACATTGGTGATGTATAAAAATGATTGATTAATAATATTATTTAATTATATCGATAATATTGAGAACAGTAGAATTGTTAAAATTGAGTTAAATTTTGGTATTAATTGAATTATTTTATAAACAGAATATTAAAATCTCCGCACATAATAATTGGCAACGCATCTGAAGTTAGTAACTAAGTAAAACTGCAAAATGAAAACTACATTCCAAACTATATGCACACATCAAATATTCTGAGTGAATACAGTACAAAGCCCTCCTCCAGGCCAGGCACATGAAAAATCTTCCATAGCAGAAAACCTCGAAACTTTCCAGCTATCATTGACCGACATTAACTTGCTGCATGTCGAGAATAATGTTCAGAATCTTACTGGGAACAAAAATTCGTTTCTTGATGGTTTTCCCGACCAGATATTTTGACAGTTTAGAATCCAATGAAGCTAGTGAAAATGCATCTTCTTCTGTGCAAGATTTTTCGACCTGGATTGTGCCCCTTGTCTTCCCGTTGATTTGTACCGGTAGAGTTATTGTCGACTCCTTTAAGTATGCAGGATTCACCTACAATAATAAAGTAGACATTACCAAACAGAACCCAAGAGCCCCTATGTGTGTGTGGCCCTCAATCCTTTCAACTTTACTTTTGAAATAATTACAAAATCGTCCCTACGGATTAGCCTAGTTATGAAAAAGGTCCTGTGATTTCCTGACAATTACAAATCTAGTCACTGTGTGAAACTAGTAGCTGTCTTATGCCTTACTAGTAGATATCCTGTACATGTGCACAGATGTACATAAAATATTATTAAGTAATATTTGAGAATTTAATATTTAAATTCTAGATAATGAACATATTACATTTTAAAAAATTTGATCATTAGGAAAAATAAAC